GGGACTGTGACGACCCGGGCACCCCCAGCTACTCCAGCAGAGTTATGACAGGCTTGTCTGCAGGCGACACCATCACCTACACCTGTAACCCTGGTTACACCATGCACGGTACCGCCACTACCACCTGCCTCACCGGCAACAGTAGGGTCTGGTCGGACCCCAACCCCACTTGCATCGGTAAGAAACACCAACATGTTTCATTTGCGTAACATTTCGTCATATCATTCTCATGCACGTACACTAACTTTGTAACTATGTAAAGATCTAGTTCCAATTCCAATCAGGCTTTAAGGCTGTCAATGGTCGTCTGACCGTGTGTACTGCATTACAGCTGAGTGTGGCAGTGACTGGACGGCTCCCACCGGTGCAGTGTTGTCCCCAAACTACCCGAGGTCCTACTCGAACAACCAGAACTGTTACTACACCATCACTGTCAACCCGGGATCCTTCATCCAACTCACTGTCAGGGCCTTCTACACAGGCAGCAGCAGTGGCGACTATCTGGAGGTAATTCTAGGAGACTAAAACAACACCATTTTGATTTAGTAACACATAAGGTCAAACAAGTAAACGTAAACTACTGTTTAGAACAGGATAAAGGATGCCAAATATAACTCTGTTCGACTCTCCTCAGCAAGTAAAGTTGATGGATTTTTTTCGCCACCAGTTCCCACAATGTACAATCAGACGCCATTATTTCGATTAAACTTGCATCTTTCGACGTCGCCGCCGGCTGCAAGCTCAAATCCAAGTCAATTATTGTAAATTGAATATTACTGTAGCTAGTGTATATTACATCTGGTAGATTATTCCAATGGCTTCCTACTGGGAGACGTAGAGAGAGAAGACCACATACGACACTTTTGTCAATGATGGAGAAAGACACTGGTCCCATAGGGACTGCTCTAGTGCCCACCATTAGGGCCAGGGGTTACTGGAGTGACTTTTATCAAACGCGCCTCATCGAATTATCCAGAGGAATGATGATAGTGATGATGTGCACTGTCATCTCTTCCAGATCCGTGATGGAGGGACGGCAACGGATACATACATTGGTCGCTACAGCGGATCCGGGTTGTCCAACGGTGACGTGATCAAAAGCACGTCCTATCAGCTGTGGTTCAAATTCAGATCGGATTCATCCTACACGTACAGCGGCTTCCATATAGACTACACAGGTGAGTCCAAAAATAGTTTCATCAGATTGGTAGAACATGATGTAGCCATTTTCTTTTTTCAGAACCAGGAAGACTCACCTTGCTGAAGTATCGGTGTCTATCAGACACCTTCCTTAGAGCTTCTTAAGGTGTCTGATGTAGACGATAGACACCGAAACGTAAGCAAGGGGAGTTTTCCTAGTTGTGAAAAAAGAAAACTCCTACATGCTACACATGTACCAGTGAGTGTTTGTGTCAATTAGGGCTCTTCGTTTATGATCTTACTTGTCCTTTCTCACACCAATGACAAAACTTGACCCCCTCTCTTCTGCAGTAGGACTGTGCAAATCTTTCCAATGATATGAGGAGAGAAAAAAGAACATCATAGTGGTTGAAGAATGAAATGGCAATCTTTGTCTCTTTTTTCAGAGATGGACATCAGCCTGCGGGACTGTGACGACCCCGGCACCCCCACCTACTCCTCTCGTGTTGTGGAAGGTTTTGGATCAGGCGACACCATCACCTACACCTGTAACCCTGGTTACACCATGCACGGTACCGCCACTACCACCTGCCTCACCGGCAACAGTAGGGTCTGGTCGGACCCAAACCCCACTTGCGTAGGTAAGAAACACCAACATCTCAGCTGGTGTGTTACGCCGAAGGGCGGTTATCCCGGCTACACCGATACAGATACAGGTCTTTCACTTCGTAATGGTCAATCTCATGTAAAAATCTAGCTCCAATTGTAAGGCAGCGTCAGGTTTGACGGCTGTCAATGGTGGTCTGCATCTAACAGTTGACATGTATCAAGTGCCTTGAGCGATTGTACATAAGATTAATGACAGCAATGTGAACCTACAGTCAATGACCATCTGACCGTGTGTACTGCATTACAGCTGAGTGTGGTAGTGACTGGACGGCTCCCACCGGTGCAGTGTTGTCCCCGAACCACCCACTCTCCTACCCGAACAACCAGGACTGTTACTACACCATCACTCTCAGCCCGGGATCCTTCATCCAACTCACTGTCAGGGCCTTCTACACAGGCAGCAGCAGTGGTGACTATTTGGAGGTGACTGTTTTTAATGTTAACGTTAGCAAAACCCATGTATCAAATAGCACATCAGACGTCTGGTTGACATTTATGTACGGAAATGTGGGGTCGTGTGGCGTAACAGTAGAGTGTTCGGCTCAGAACCAAGAGGTCCCGGGTTCGAATCCTGCCATGCCACCTATCATGTGCCCTTGGGAAAGGCACTTTTCTCACTTCACTCAGGGGTAAATGATTATTGCTCTCTCCGTTGGTTGCGGCATAAAAATAAGTTGAAAGACTTGAGTGTGCCGTCACCATGTCTTGTATTGCAGCGTTTGAAAATGTTGCAATATAAAAAAAATGTGGAAACTATGTAATTTGAACTGGCTCGCTCTATCGTCCATCTCAAAATGATCTTTCTGTATCCTAGGTTGACGAGAGAGAGAGCTTGACGGAAACCCACAGAATTCTGTAATGCCTAACTAATTGAATGGTCTGCCACTGTGCCCTAGACTCCCCTAACTATACATATCTTGAAAGCGATCCAACTTGAGGAATATACCACATTGTTAGGCACTGCGCGCATAAGATCAATGAAGCTTACTTGATAATATACCCGACGTTATGTCATGAAAAGGCTTTCAAAATAAGATACTTAGCCTACTAATTGTATATTTATATGTATAATTTATTAGCTATACAGTTTAAAGCGCTTCAGCTGATGGAATGTAACATTTCTCAAAGTCTTTCAAAATAGCACATCTGATTACTAGGTGCGGTCGTGTGGCGTAACGGCAGAGCGCTCGACTCGAAACCAAGAGGTCCCGAGTTCGAGTCCTGACACACCGATCATGTGCCCTTGGGAAAGGCACTTAACACGACTTTCCTCACTTAATTCAAGAGAAAACGAGTATTGTCTGTCCAGTATTTGTGTCTCTGTGTGGGACACAACACCAGCAACAGCTGCCTGTGGCTGTGTCCCACGTGTATTGTATTGTAACAATTTCAATAAATCAAATTAAATCAATAAATTACTGCATAGACATTCTTTGCTTACCCCAATAACGGTATCTACCGTTTTGCCCACACTATATGTTCTTTCCTAAGTATATTTCTAATGTAGGGACACCTGTTTTAATTTGCCTCTTGAGCCTTTGGCAAAGGTGTCACAGTGTCACTCCTGTCTGAGTGCTGTAAAGCCTCCCGGCAAAGACGAATTGGAGGTAATTCTAGGAGACTAAAGCAACACCATTTTGATTTAGTAACACATACGGTCAAACAAGTAAACGAAAACTACTGTTTAGAACAGGATAAAGGATGCCAAATATAACTCTGTTCGACTCTCCTCAGCAAATAAAGTTGATGGATTTCGCCACCAATCACTACGATGTACAATCAGACGCCATTATTTCGATTAAACTTGCATCTTTCGACGTCGCCGCTGGCTGCAAGCTCAAATCGAAGTCAATTTTGGTAAACTGAATATCATTGTAGCTAATGTACATTACATCTGGTAGATTAATGCAATGGCTTCCTACTGGGAGACGTAGAGTGAGAAGACCACATACTACACTTTTGTCAATGATGGAGAAGGACACTGGCCCCATAGGGACTGCTCTAGTGCCCACCATTAGGGCCAGGGGTTACTGGAGTGACTTTTATCAAACGCGCCTCACCGAATTATCCAGAGGAATGATGATAATGATGATGTACACTGTCATCTCTTCCAGATCCGTGATGGAGGGACGGCAACGGATACATACATTGGTCGCTACAGCGGATCCGGGCTGTCCAACGGTGACGTGATCAAAAGCACGTCCTATCAGCTGTGGTTCAAATTCAGATCGGATTCATCCTACACGTACAGCGGCTTCCATATCGACTACACAGGTGAGTCCCAAAATACTTTCATCAGATTGGTAGAACATGATGTAGCCATTTTCTTTTTTCAGAACCAGGAAGACTCACCTTGCTTAAGTATCGGTGTCTACAAACACCTTCTCTAGAGCTTCTTAAGGTGTCTGATGTAGACGATAGACACCGAAACGTAAGCAAGGGGAGTTTTCCTAGTTGTGAAAAAAGAAAACCCCTACATGCTACACATGTACCAGTGAGTGTTTGTGCCAATTAGGGCTCTTCGTTTATGATCTTACTTGTCCTCTCTCACACCAATGACAAAACCTGACCCCCTCTCTTCTGCAGTAGGACTGTGCAAATCTTTCCAATGATAGAAGAACTTTATTGCACGACGATTGCACATGTTACAATGTATGGCAAACTACATAAAGAGAGAGTAACAACAATAAAATAAGTGTGTTGAATAAGACCTAATGTCGAATAAAACCTAACATATCTATATCATAATCATTCAAATAATAAGGGATATCACAAGTTTTTGATACAATCGAGTGGGCTAATCACAAGTTTCGGCATTTTTTCTAGTAGCAAAGCATTCCTTTATATATCTACCTATTTTTGCGTTGTGGGGACCATTACATGTAAAGATATATTCAAATCTGTCTCCAACAACGAGACTCTTAAAATCTATGGTACTTGATTCGAGAAATGTGAATAGCTTGTTACGTATAACATCATATTTGGTACATTCCATAACAAAATGAAATTCATTTTCTATATGCTTTGGACAAAATGGACAGAACCTTTGGTCAGGGGCTATATTGTAATATCTGCCTGTTTCAACATTCAATTTATGGCTACTGATTCTTAATTGAGTTATTGCTTTACGAATTTCAAAGTTATGTATATCACAAAGGTATGTTTCTTGTTCATAACAGTTTTTTAATTTGCTAAGAAAAGACAGCTTAGAATTATTTCTAATGCAACTAAACCACTCTTGTATATGTGTATCTTGTAGCCGGTTGCTAAGATGGTGTGTAATATAATCTGCTTTATAAACTTCAGGTTTCATCCATATATGTCCAAAGCCGTAGTAGTTGAGAGTGTCTTTAACATGATTAATCCAGTCGTGGTCATCAGCAAATACAGTTTTGTATGCATCATGAAGCAGAGAGTCCTAATATATGAGGAGAGAAAAAAAACATCATGGTGGTTGAAGAATGAAATGGCAATCTTTGTCTCTTTTTTCAGAGATGGACATCAGCCTGCGGGACTGTGACGACCCGGGCACTCCCACCTACTCCTCTCGTGTTGTGGAAGGTTTTGGACCAGGCGACAAAATCACCTACACCTGTAACCCTGGTTACACCATGCACGGTACCGCCACTACCACCTGCCTCACCGGCAACAGTAGGGTCTGGTCGGACCCCAACCCTACTTGCGTAGGTAAGAGAAACCAACATCTCTTATTTCGTCATGGTCATTCTCATGTACTAGAATACTGCCATCAGTACCGTGTCAGTATGGACTGAAATATGCTGTATTTGCTTCCAGGCAAATATCTGTCTTTCTAGTTCCAATTGTAATGCAGTGTCAGGCTTGGTGGTCTGAAGAATTGCTGTGTACAAAACTTACAGTTGACATGCATCAACTGCCTTGAACAATTGTACATAAGATTAATGACATCAGAACCTTCTGTTCAGTCAATGGTCGTGTTAACTTTACTGCACTACAGCTGAGTGTGGCAGTGACTGGACGGCGCCCACCGGTGCAGTGTTGTCCCCAAACTACCCAAACTCCTACTCAAACAACCAGAACTGTTACTACACCATCACTGTCAACCCGGGATCCTTCATCCAGCTCACTGTCAGGGCCTTCTACACAGAAGGTGGCTCAGACTATCTTGAGGTGACTGTTTTTGTCAAAAAAACACTTCTAAAATCACACTGGTACCTTGGACAATGTACAAATACGAAACTGGGAGGTCATAATTTAATGCCTCCCATTTTTAAGTTTCATGTTGGATGTAAAGCCCACTTCCTTTTGGTTACTGTCACCCAGAGCATTCGACCAGTCACTCTGGTCTTTCTCAGTAGACTGACCCAGTGAAGCTTGTCACGTGTCCAAAATCCTTACAGTGTCAAGTGATGACGCCACACTTCAAAGAAGCCACGTGACAAGCTTCACTGGGTCAGTATACTGAGGAAGACCAGAGTGACTGGTCGAAAGCTCCAGGTGAGAGAATTTTTTTGTGTTGGACCAAAAGTTTTAACTTTAAACATGTAACTACCAACACAGATGAACTTTCATAATAGAAAGACCATCTTGTTGACATGTAATCTGTACATGTATCTGTCTAGCCGGTATAACCGTCCTTGGGCATAACACAGACATACGGTCGCAAGTAAACCTCAATTGTGTTTAATAACAGGTTAAAGATGTCAAATACAACTCTGTTTAACTCTTCTCGGCAAGTAAAGTTGGTGGATTGTTTTCGCCACCAGTTACCTCTCATACAATTGTCTGTACAATCAGACGCCACCGTTTCTATTGAACTTGCATCTTTCGACGTCGTCGCACGCTGCAAACTCAAATCGAAGTCGCTCGCTCCTGTAACGTCACGATTCACGGATAGGTCATGTACTGTAGGTAATGTACACTCCCATCTCTTCCAGATCCGTGATGGAGGGACAGAAACGGACACACGGATCGGTCGGTACAGTGGATCCGCGTTGTCCAACGGTGACGTGATCAAAAGCACGTCCTACCAGCTCTGGTTCAAATTCCGTTCAGATTCCTCCTCCACGTACAGCGGCTACCATATCGACTACGCAGGTGTGTCCGAAAAATAGTTTCATCAAGGTGGTAGAACATAGAATGTAGGTATTTTCTTTTTTTCACTACCAGGAAGACTCACCTTGCTTACGCTTCCTTAAAGCTTCTGAAGTTGTTTGATAGACACCAAAAAGTAAGCAAGTGAGTCTTCCTGGGTGTGAAAAAAGAAAATTCCTACATGCTACACACTCAGTTGTTTCTCTGTGCCAAGTAGAGCGCTTCGTTCATGGCGTTAATTTTCCTTCAACACGCCTGTGACAAAACTTGGCTATCTCTCTTCTGCTGTAGGACTGCGCAAATCTTAAAATGATATGAGGAGAATGAAAAAAAGTATCCAGGTGGTTGAAGAATGAAACGGCAATCTTTGTCTTTTTTCAGAGATGGACCTCAGCCTGCGGGACTGTGACGACCCGGGCACCCCCACCTACTCCTCTCGTGTTGTAGAAGGTTTCGGACCGGGAGACAAAATCACCTACACCTGTAACCCTGGTTACACCATGCACGGTACCGCCACTACCACCTGCCTCACCGGCAACAGTAGGGTCTGGTCGGACCCCAACCCTACTTGTGTAGGTAAGAGACACCAACATCTCTCATTTCTTCATGGTCTTTCTCATGTACTAGTATACTGCCATCAGTACCATGTCAAGATCTAGTTACCTTCGTTATGTTTTCAGTAACGTTTATCTGTTTGTCTTCCTGCTAACAGCATATCTGAAGAAGCTTTATATAAATCGTCTTGAAACTTGATAGGTGGGTAAGTGTTAATGAGGCCTAGAAATGATTAGATTTGGGCCCTCTGGCGACTTCCGTTGGTACTGTAGAACTTCCGGTTTTGACATCTCATGATTTGGACATGCTAGGGTCACCAACTTGCATGGTAGATAGCTCTTGGGCTAGGAAAGAAGTGACATGAGTTTGGGCCCCCCTGGCAGCTTGTTCTGGAACTGCAGGGAAGGTTGTTTGACATCTTTGAAGGAGAATAACTCAAGGACCGGCTAACGGACTGTCGTCATTTTTAGTACGTAGGCAGCTCAAGTGATGCGTGATATAATTATGTGGCCATTATGAAAATCTCGAGATAATTTGCATAATTAATGAGCAAATCCTATAAATCTGTTCCATAATAGGACTATGGGTGGAGAATATGATAAAATGATATAATCCATGATGGAAATGAAATGAGGTTCTTATTTTCATTATGAATTAGAAAAATGTATCATTTGGTCAGTCGGAACAGTTAACATCATTTGGCGAAGGTATGAGATCGTGGAACTCTTGTTCCAATTGTAATGCAGCGTCAGGCGTGAAGGCTGTCAATGGTGGTTTGAAGAATTGCTGTGTACAAAACAGTTGACATGCATCAAGTGCCTTGAACGATTGTACATAAGATTAATGACATCAATGTGAACCGTCTGTTCAGTCAACGGTTGTCTGACTGTGTGTACTGCATTACAGCTGAGTGTGGCAGTGACTGGACGGCGCCCACTGGTGCAGTGTTGTCCCCAAACTACCCAAACTCCTACTCAAACAACCAGAACTGTTACTACACCATCACTGTCAGCCCGGGATCCTTCATCCAACTCACTGTCAGGGCCTTCTACACAGAAGGTGGCTCAGACTATCTTGAGGTGACTGTTTTTGTCAAAAAGCACTTCTAAAATCACACTGGTACCTTGGACAATGTGCAAATACGAAACTTGGAGGTCATAAGTTAATGCCTCTCGTTTTAAGTTTCATATTGGATGTAAAGCCCACTTCCTTTTGGTTTAAGAAGTCGATGTACGAGTTTGTTGTCAATATACCAGCCAATAATGTTATATCATCTTTTAGGAATCATAAAAATCTAAAACTTAGTAGAAACCGCGTAACCAATTATTATCATTATCATTATTGCACTGTATTTATAGCTTACATTACCTTATTTCATTGTCATTATTTTATACCGTATATTATTTGATTATCCTTGGCCTTATTGTATGATTTCCATTTTCTTTTGTATTATTTCCATTTATTGATTATATTCAATTTTGTATAACTTAGAGGAAGAGGGCCTTGTATAAGAATTCCATGCTTCTCCCCTCCTTCTGCACCTGTTCTTATACTTGTTTTGTATTATTACTGTCTGTTTTGTTTAATGTGTAAACTGATCAAATCAAATCAATCAAACGCAAATCTGCTTTGCCAAATGATGCTCTGAGTTAACGGGTACTATTATCTAAAGTTCCGGAAGCTCATTTTTTCAAATTCGTGACAGCATTTCAGCTCATCATGTCGAATGTCATTAGTTTCTTGGCCGAATGTTACAAACAACGCCACCTTGTATGAATGTTAGGGTCATCTTGAATATTAATGTCCAAGCAGATCCGGGTGGCCAATGGATACTGTCTGGCCAATGGATACTGTCTGGCCAATGGATACTGTGTGGTCCAGGCCTGGTCTGGCCAATGGATACTCTCTGACCATTGGATACTGTCTGGCCAATGTGATACTGTCTTTGCGGCCACCATAAAATCTGCTTGGAGATTACCTGTAGCTAACGTACTGTTATATTGTCTGTAGATTCGTGACGGAGGGACGGCAACGGATACATACATTGGCCGGTACAGTGGATCCGGGCTGTCCAACCGCGACGTTATCAAGAGCACGTCCTACAAGCTCTGGTTCAAATTCAGGTCCGATTCTACCTACACCTACAGCGGCTTCCACATCGACTACGCAGGTAGATTTAATCCCTGCCTTCTATACACTGTATATGGAATTTTAGCTATGGTATTTTGTTATGTTTGATTATGTTTACCGAAGGAAAACTGTTTTTGCTCTGTTTCTTCTTCTTCCGTTCCAAACACTGACCTCTGACCTGGTCAATGACCTGAACCAGACTGTCTCTCACCATGGTAACTGGTGTTGGGTTACGTCATGTTGCAATTTTATAGTAGGAGGGATTTAAACTCCTGTCACCATATATATGTGAGTAAGAATTAACAGAGCAGACTATATGCAAAGGTAAACATTATGCAGTTGCTTTGCAAATGTTGCCTTTCTAGTTGAGTTTTGGATGCGTATATTATTTGATATCCATTTCTTCATCTTATGATATTTCGTCAAGATGTACATGTATATCCTGCATCACACACCGTAGAAAGTTTCTGCTATCATATATGATAACTGGTTTGTTGGTCAAACATTACCCGTGCGATCGCAGCCTTTTATAGCGCTGAATTGATGCAGGGTTTACAATCACATACACTTGATAAACGTATTTGCTCTACACACTTTTGTGGAACTGTCGCAGGCCATTCGGCGCCACAAGGTGACTCAATACGACTTTCCCCATTCACACCTGGGTGGAGTAAGGAAAGCCGTGTAAAGTGCCTTTCCCAGGGGCACAACGTCGGGGCACATGTCCAGACATGTCCCGGGTACAACTCGAGATCGAACCCGGGTCTCGCCGTGTCATAGTCGACCTCTCTACCACTACGCCACCCGACGCCACTGAGAGACGCTAGAATGAACAAACCGCCCATGGCATTGATTTGTATGTCGAAAAAAACGCACTGCCATTTTTCATTGGTAAGGCCATGTTGATTTGATTATATGGATGACATCCGCGCGCGCATGAATTCTCGTCTGTTTCCAAAAAAAAAAGAAGAAGAACGTTTTCGACCATACCGTAAGTCGTACAAAACAACTGCAAGATTAGCAGATATATGCCGTACATTGAAAAAAAATATTGGAAAACGATACTTAAATCGCAGGATACCAAAATCCATTCCAAAGGACAGGAAGAAAATGTAAAGGAATGAAAATGAAGAGTCTATTATTCACAATGCCAATAGAATATTACTCTGTGTTTAGTTATTTGTTTAACCTTCATGACCACCCAGATTTCATAATGAAGGCAACATTTTAGCCAAGCTTTTTTATTCGCACGGTCGCATCAATTTTGAGGTTCCCAGAGGATGTCATCCATATAGTCAAGTCAACATGGCCGTATATGTCGTGCTTTATCAACTCTGCCATCTCATGAGTGCTTGTCCTTACACCACCCGGTTGATGAATGTCTCTCCCAGCTGTGGACATCTCTCTGCGGTCCTGTGATGACCCTGGCACTCCGCCAAACAGCGACCGCACGGTGACGACTTTTGATGCCGGCAACTCCGTCACCTACACCTGTAACCCTGGTTACACCATGCACGGTACCGCCACTATCACCTGCCTCACCGGGGACAGTAGAGTCTGGTCGGAGGACCCACCTTCCTGCGTTGGTACGGCTACAAGAAATATCATCACGGGTTACGTTCTTAAAGGCATCCAATGTGATTTCAGGGAAGCAAAACTGAAAAAATTCTGAATACGGCAATCTTTGTGATATTGACACATACTGCTTCACGTTATCACATTTGAGTCTGACTCAATATTTCATACTTTGGGCTTTTAAAACTGCAGAAACAAGCCCCAAGACGAGTCCTTTATTTTCTGGGTGGGACCCTAAAAATCAGCCAATGGCACTTACAGTAACCATTTTCCGTCAGAATTTTGGGAATTTTTGCTCCTTGAGGATCAGTATACATTGGGATAGTGTGGTTTCAACTCAGTTTGTAGATAAATGGCTAGAATATTGGCTTTGAAAAATCGGGTTTGCAAGCCCTAAAAATTGCACTGGATGCCTTTCATCGGCTTACATGTAGCTGATATTTTACTTTTCAATATGTCCATAAAGAATTTCGTCAGGTTGGTAAATCGTTGGGCATTTACCTTTTTTTAAAAAAGGCACTCTGTATAACAACCAGTTCCAATTACGCCTACCGACTATTTGGTAGTCCATCTCTACTTTCCTCGGAGCAATGCCAAACAATTGGAAGCAGAGCCATACAATATTTCTCTGATGAAGGCAGCAAAAGAACTACCTAAACCCTGGCAATTGGTATCGGTTGTGTACAAAGCACATTGCCCTTGACACTGCTTGAGTTATGGTGCGCCAAATCATATCATTTGACCACCAAGTACTAGTAACCGTCCCATGAGATATCGTACAATTGGGCACAGATATGCAACAATTAATCTCCCATCACAAACAGTAAATAATTGATATTAGTGGTCATAATGGCTTGTGTCAAAGTCAAGGTTTACAAATGTACCCTCTTAACAAGATCGCGTGACAATTTTGTTTTAAAAAATATATTGATAGAATCAAGTGATGATTTCCGTTACAAAGGCAAACATGAACTCTAAAGTTTAAATACACTAAATTAAATATAAAAAAATAATGAAACAGAGCAGCTAAGGTGAATATTTATGTTTACCGAAGGGAAACATATTGGTTTTGTTCTGTTTCCTCTTCTTCTCCAAACAGATAAGGTCAATGACCTGAACCAGACGTCTGTCACCATGGTAGCTAGTGTTGGGTTACATCATGTTGCAATTTTATAGCAGGAGGGATTTATACTACTGTCACCATATAAAACGTGAATGTGTTTGAGTAAGAATTAACAGAGCAGGCCATATGCGAAGGTAAACATTATGCATGCAAATGTTTCCTTCCTAGTTATAATCATTGCCGTTGTGTTCACCTGGATAGCTGAATGTGGGGGAGACTGGCGAGACCCAACCGGCGCCATCTTGTCACCAAACTACCCAAGCTCTTACAACCCCAGCCAGACCTGTTACTACACCATCACTGTGGACCCCGGGAAGACCATCCGACTCACCGTTCGGGCCTTCTTCACAGAAAGTGGCTCAGACTATCTTGAGGTACGTTTTGTACCATAGGATCTATGGCATCAACCAAGTTGAAGTGCTTTTGAAGTACAAAGTAGCAATTGATCATGTGTGGTACTGCTGATTGCTTGTCACCAAGACCAATATAACACCTCGTTTGAAGGTAAAACTTTTGTTCCAACACAAAAGAGAAATGTCCTCACCTAGAGCTTTCGACCAGTCAATCTAGTCTTCTTCAATAGACTGACCCAGTGCAAGACTTGTCACGTGACTTCTCTGACGTGTGACGTCAACACTGGGTCAAAGGTATCTGGTAAACAACGTCACGTGACAAGTATCACCGGGTCAGTCTACTGAAGAAGACCAGTGTGACTGGTCAAAAGCTCTAGGTGAGAACATTTCTCGCTCTTTTGTGTTGGAACAAATGTTTTATCTTTACACATGTGACTAACAACACTTCCATTGTTTTTGCTGTTTGGGAGCAGATCCATGATGGTCCTGACGCCAACGCCGCTCGGATTGGCCGGTATAGCGGCACTGGCCCTCCTGATGGTGACGTCATCTCCTCAACTACCAATCAGCTTTGGTTCAGGTTTAGGAGCGACTCCTCCTACAATTACAGTGGCTTCAAACTGGACTACGAAGGTTATATTTTGTCCACAATATCATATCATGTTGGTACTCAAGATTTTGTTGCACTGTTTAGAATATACGTAGTAGAGGCAATCGCCAAATGCGCATATAAGGCCACACTGATTTAATTTTATGGATGACATCCGCGCGCGCATTGATTTTCGCCTGATCTCAAGAAAGAAATTCCCTCTTCCGGGGCTCTGGCCTGAGTGCCATACCCTGAAGTTCATGGTAGCTAGCGACAATAGGGAGTCAGCGTTACCTACGGAGGATGGCACCCAGGCTGCCGAAGCTCCACGGAACTCAAGAACTCAGTACAGTGCCGACTCATAAATGCCACAAAAGGCCAGAATGTGCCGGCATGTCGTGAAATTCGCTATGTACAATCGAAATTCATGATACCAGCTTTGTATTCCTGTGGTTTAGAAGCATTTTCTTTTGTTGGCATTTCTTGTATTCGGCCGCGCGCACTAATTTGGAGGTCTCGTCTTCCGGGGATCTCATCCATAAGTCAGTGTGGCGTAATCTGAAATTTATATCCAGGCCAATCAAACGGTGCCATAAGAACCCCCATAGGACTGCTTCATCAAATCATCTTACCATAAATTGCGCAACTTTTGCATCATCAAATCATGCTTCCAAAAATTGCATAACTTTTGCATCATCAAATCATCTCACCAAAAATTGCGAAACTTTAAATTGAACCTTAGGCCATGTTGATTTGATTATATGGATGACATCCGCGCGCGCATAAATTTTCGGCCGTTTAAAAAAAAAAAGTTTTCAACCATACTGTAAATCGTACAAAACAGTTGCAAAATGAGCAAAAATATACCGTAAGTTACAAAAAAAACCATACCAATGTCGTAGAATGCCAAAATCAAACGAAAAAAGACGAAATTGTAAAGAAATGAACTTGAAGACTAGATTATTCGCCAAACCATATTCTGTCCCATTTGTTCAACCCTCATGACCACGTAGATTTCATAATGAAAACAACTTTTTTTTTTTGCAAAATTTTTTTTTATTCGCACGCGCGCATCAATTTTGGGGTTCCCGGAGGATGTCATCCATATAATCAAATCAACATGGCCTTAACAAGATGACAAGCAGGCAGAGGAATCAATCCAGATCCTCTGCAAGCACTGTGACGTTTGATAAACCAATCAACCTGCCTAATCACTATGATTGAACACACAAATAACTTTAACGTCAACTTCGTTATTTCATAATTCAAACTGCTATTTTCCTCTCACAGCTGTCTGAGAAACAAGATGGCCCCCGCGTACTCAACTGGTGATTCTATCACGGAGGTCGAATTCATCGAGCTAGGCAATATGTGATAGGACAAAATCGAATAAACCATCAAGAATTCGGAGATCTCATGCCTCCATGAAATATATGAGTTTTTGTAAATGTTTTTTTCACAGTACACTACAGTACAGAACAAAATAACACAGGTTTTTGTTTTCAAACACACAGCTTTTCTGCTAATACAGTAGCACCTGTTGCCTGAAATAGGTAAGGCTGTAATAGATTTGGTCAACTCAGGGGTCAACTGTACATTTAGGGCTAAGGCTATTCCAAAGGGAGAACCTCATTAATAAAACCGGCTGCCCGCACGTTTTCCCTGCCTTGCAAAAATACAAAAACTGGACGTTCTGCTGCAGTATCAAGGTCAGCCACCAGGAGGCCCACATTTGACCTTGACCTTTGGCTTCCTAAGACCTACCAGCATACCAAATATCATCACAATCCATAAAGGCGTTCTGAAGTTATGCTGACTACAAATGTGCGGAGACACACATACACAAACGCGCCAAAAACAATACCTCCATTTTTCATCGAGGTAAAAACAAGATGCACTCGTCTTACAAACGAGCCTGTCGTCTATTACGGGAGGGTCCCCTGTTGCTGCAGTGCAGGATAAGATAACATCTTGTTGAACATATAAGTCGTTCCTTATCAGATAACTGTCTCTCTTCGTTTATCTGAAATGGCAATTAGGCCACAGGACGTCTTCTGTGCCTGGTAATGGGTATGAGATGTCACGGTTCGTTTGCAGTCTGCTCCCGTGAACGCTTACTTGACGAGAAGGCAGCTGCTCGGAGTTTTAGGAATTGATTGAACCTATCATCTTTATCCGTGACACCAAAAAGCAAACCTTACAGCAATTGCTAAGAGTTTGCGTACAAATTACTAGCCTCCATAGCATGCCAAAAACTGGGGGTTTGGGGGTCTTCGTGGTCTTTTATATGCTATTTTCTGATTGCATATAGACAACATAGCCGGCCTGGTTGAATTACCCCCATTTTTAGAACTGGACTAATCAGAACAGCCGAAGACCACCAAACCCCCTGTTCTATAAGCCTGCTATGGCAGCTAACAAATTACAACGCAAGACAGGAAAAAAAAATACATCCCTCGTGTACATTATGATACATTATTTTGTACCGAGAAAACATTTTGACTTGATACAGATGAGGTTTAGGAAAGATAAAGCTTTGTTGTCTTTTGACAATTCTTTGTTGTGCAGGGTTATGGCTAGCCTCCGTAGCTTTATAGAACTGGGGGTTTGGTGGTATTCGGCTGTTTTCTGATCAGCCCAGTTTAAAAAACGGGGGTAATTCAATCAGGCTGGCTATGTTGTCTATAAGCAATCAGAAAATAGCACATAAAAGCTACCAAAGGCCATGAAGACCCGCAAAACCCCCAGTTTTTGGCATGCTATGAAGGCTAGGTTATGGCCCTATGAAGAAAGGACTGTTTGTAGCCGTTTTGTCCTTGGCCTGGGAACACTCACGGCCTGGCTGTTCCGCGGCCTGGCTGTTCCGCGGCATGGCTGTTCCACGGCCTGGCTGTTCCGCGGCCTGGCTGTTCCGCGGCCTGGCTGTTCCGCGGCCTGGCTGCTCCGCGGCCTGGCTATTCCACGGCCTGGCTGTTCCACGGCCTGGCTGTTCTTGGGTAACACAGTTTCCCGGCACATAAGGCCACACCAATTTAACAGTGCTGTCTCTAGATTCGCCCTGTCCATTTTTTCTGATTTGCAAAAAAAAATTAGGTTCTAAATCAACTCCAAAATGCTCAATGAAAGATACATTTTGGCTCCAACGGTTGACGAAAATCCTTTTCTTACTAATGGTTAAGTTTTACAATGTAATAACGCAACTTTGTTTCATTAAAAGCTCAAAATCTACTGTTTTAATCATAAACCAGCCTGCTATGTTGACTTCATGGCCCATATCGTAACATTTACGGCTACCATGGGGTTCCTTGGCCAGTTTTTTTCGCCCTGTCGCTCCATAAATCCGAGAAACAACAAATTTAATTGGTATGGCCTAATACCGATAAAATCCTCGCCACTTCTCCGGCTTGCTGTATCTTTAAACTTTTAAAGGCAATCAACTGGTACATGATCTCCAGTAGCATGTGAATGTCCTGTTACCGTACGTAAACCCAGCACGGAAATTGTTGGCGATCCGCAACAGTCAGCAGTAATTTGTAGTTTCAAAGCCTGGGCATTTTCTGCATTATTGCCTTCCCTTTTTACAGTCTGAAGAAAATTAGACAAACACATCAACCTGTTATAGCGTCTTTAGGCTTTGTAATGGTCGGCGACAGGGTTCCTAATGATCGACCACACAGTGTGATCAATACTGGGTGATAGGATAATGTGGCCATCTCTGATTGCAATGGTTTCCAACCTGATTAGGTTTGGTACAAAATGGAGGATCAGGCCTCGAAATCAACTCCCACTAGGTTCTCTACTAGCTCACACAACTTCGCCGTCCAAATTCCTTGTTCGAAATCTTTTTACAGTGACAGTTTCTTTATTTCCCCGTACGGCCAAGCTTTGGAATTCCCTCCTTGACAAGTGTTTTCCACCAACCTACAATCTACAGGCTTTCAAATCAAACGTTCACCGCCATCTCTTGACAAAGTCATGTTTCTCTCATATTTCTAATTCAATGCCGAGAAGTGGTCGAATAGGCTTTGCATTGAACCACTCTGTTAAAGAAAAGAGAACAAAAAATGTCTTTCTATTGTCCCAGCACTGTCCCCAAAATAAATTTCAATTGTCCCGAAATGAGGATGTCCCAATGTCCCAACCTGTTTTTCGAGAAGTATTGTATGACTTCAACTTCAAGTCAACTTTATTTTTCTTACGTTCTGACTACTAGAATTGCAGAATAGACAGGAAATTCGAGGGGGGGGGGGGTCTGTAGCCAAAAGCCGGGACGTGTGCCTACTAAACAAAGGGACTGACATTCTGATGTTGATTATTGTTCTGATGTCCCAAAAATGTCCCAAAGTGTCTTTTTACTTTTAGTGGTCAGTGGCCATAAAAATTGTCTCCCGTGCTCTATACAGAGCATAGGGTTTGGTGCCCATGTCCATTTCCTTAGCCCTTGGGCGACACACAGTTGTGCAGGGCACTACAGCAAGGGGCTAGTCCGCTGGTAGTGCTGTGTGTTTGACCTTCCCACACTCTTTCTCATATGTGCTAAGCAGAGAAAGAAGTGTGTACCATTTTTAAAGTCTTTGGTAAGACCCGGCCGGGGTTTGAACTCACGACCTCCCAGTTACAAAGCGAGCACTCTACCAATTGAGCTATTGCACCGTTGGCCATAGGGACACTGCTAATTTCGAGCCCTGAGAACATCTACACACAGACCTCAACTGCACCAGAAGTGGAGTGATTACAGGTATTACAGGTGGGGACGTTTGAGATGGATGTTGGTACTGTTGTTCCATCACGTGGGGCCAATAAAGGAAAAGGAAATCTTCCCTCCCCCGACGAGGATTTGGTAACTAATGCTGATCGATGACATCCAGGCAACTTTGCTTAGCGGAACGCCAATTGCTCTCTACAGTCACATATTGCCAGCAGATGTAGGGAACAGATCAACACTAAGCTTGGGAAATTGCTTCTTTGTGCGCGCCAATGATGGCAACAGTGAAACCATTTCAGCATTGCAATTCTGTGAGGGTAAAACTAACTGTTCCAAATGGGTTGCGTACGTCTGGAATAGAGTTACATTGTTTTTGGCGACGTCTCAGGGAGGAGCCTAATGGTACAGTATTGTGTGCAGTTTGCAAGAATTGTACAGGCATTTTGTACACAGACATGGAATGTCCACAGGCATTTCTCTGACCCACATCTATGCCCACATTCCTGGAAACCTTTGGGAAGACCTGTCTGCCCCAATGGCCCTACGTTCTGTGACCCCGGGGCTCGTTCAATATACACTCAGCAGGGGAGGAGTGCACTGTATCTGTCTAGACTTAACAGGTACCCAGTCTTCCTCAAAATCATGAAATAATGGCAGTGCCATTCAAACAATAATGGCAATGTATGTTTTCATTGCCAGTCTTGTTAAACTTGTAAGTCATGCTCATGAATTAGCTAACCGGTTACTTAATCAAGCCCTTGTCACAAATTCAGAACCTTCCTCCGAACACCAGTCGACCGACGTTCAATGTAGGTTGGTGGTACCCTAAGCTAAAAATTCACGTTTGGCCGAAACAAGGCGGTGCAATTTGAGTCTGTAGGGACTAGCGGCATGGGGTACACTCAACATTCTCGAAAAAAAAAAACTCATAAAAAATCGTCTTTTAGGAAAATGAAAAAATCCAAACTATGACTAGTAGGTACATTTCTGAGAAATATTGTGGGTTTTTACTGAAGCCCTAGCTTTAAAATTCAATTTTTTTTTAAATGGGCGTGGCCTAACTATTGATGATGTCATCTTGACGTCATAAAAATTGCATAAATTATCGTCTTGCAACAATACACTTTGTGAGAAAAAATCCTGTCCATACTGAACTGCAACATGTACTTTAAGAAGACCCCAAAAGTCCTCAGGCATAGTTATCTCCCACCTTAACTCGACATGTATACCTCTACTCCAAGTTTACATTGTTGAAAAAGCACCTGTATGCTATCTGTATGTTACACCACTCCACAAGTGAATTAGTTTTGAAATTCGCAACTGCTTCCCTTTCTTGACCAAATCATATGCTTCTTGGCCTCAAGATCTTCGCTAGCTCTTCTTTCCAGAGAACCTCTAAAATCTTGTTTCCTCCAATGATACGGTGAGCTCACTACCCTAATTGTGTGTGTTTGTCTGTGAAATAGACGGGAAACGTAGTTCTCTTCGGAGCTTGCGAAGAAGAGAACCTCTGAAATCTTGTTTCCTCCAATGATACCACTGATCCCATGGACTTAGGGCGGAAATGCGCGGGTGCATAAGAAACGTCCGGTAGTAGAGCATGCCGTCAGATAAAGAAAGAAAGAAAGTGATCTCTATCCAGTTTAGCTCATTGAAGAGCTCATCTTCCACTGGTCTTGACAGAGAAGACAGACAATATGTACAGTATTTACAGGTTCATT